TCCCAAAGTTGAAAGGAAGCAAAGCAGAGAAGATACAGAGATAGCAATGGGAGTGGAAAAGAACTGATGAAGAAAATCATAGTTCACAAAGGCCTTGGGCTGTGTAAGAAAGACACCACATGTCTTAAGAATTCTGGAGCATTTTTCTTAATATCAGCTCTTTCCCTGACAATAACCTCTTTCCTGGATCCTTACACAACTTCAAATCTTTAATACCACAATGATCGTTACAAAAAAGTGCTGCTTTGTTTTTCCCTTGCCTGTGTTGTTTCAGATTTTTTTTTTTATAGAGTTGGGCTAAAAAAAAAATCACATTTGGAGAATGTCACCTGCCATTCTGTACTCTAAAATGAACTTTTCCAAACTGAAGTTTCAAAATGATTCATCTGTTCATTGATCAGTGACATGCCTTGTTTTTAAATATAGAATTTTCTTTGTATGAGATATTGCAGCATAATGTTTGTGAGCATGGTTGTGGGGAGGACCCTTGGCCATATTGCCTTGTCTATGTTTTAGTTTCTTCACTGGTAAATGGGATAATACTACTGACTTCATAGGACGATGATAAAGGAAAATGATGTGGTATATAAAAGCTTTCTGAGAGGAAAGTGATGACATAACAGAAATAGTGCACCAAGCAAGGCAGTTGATCTACAAGCCCTTAAGTTAGCCCTGCAGAGGCAATGACAGTATATATACTAATGATTATTCAGAGTTGTGATACAACTATGCTTTGTATTTGCATACTACTCTTACCTTTCTAAATGCTTTGATTTAATGGCAAATTTAGTCCTCAAATTATTTCTTGTAGTAAACAAAACATTTCACTACAATTTAACAGTGAAGAAATTTTGGTCAAGTGGTGGTACTGACACCAAGGTCTGGTCACAAGCAGCCAACGCTTCCCTGGCTTTTTGGATCCAGGTCAGCCCCAGTCCCTTAGCTGTCTCCATAATGCTACCCCTCTCTCAAGTCTGATTATTGATTGACTTCAAAAACCTTGAAAAGCGCTGGCATGTTTCATAAACCTAAAACCACCTTCCCCTCCCTTGTCTTCTGAGCCTTTATTCATGGGGTTGATGTTTTGTCAAACAAAAAGAATTAGGTGATAATAGTCTTCAAGGTTGCTATGCTCTCCAAAGAGTCCAAACATACTATTTGTGGTCAACCCACAGTATCACCTCCCAGTCTCTCAAGAGTGAAGGCACAGAAGTAGAGTTTCAGTACCGTGTTAGTCCGCTGTTCACTGCTGTGACCAAAATACCTGACACAAACAATTCAGAGGAAGAAAGGTTTATTTTGGCTCATGGTTTCAGTCCATGTTTGGCTGGCTCCATTGCTTTGGGCCTGAGATAAAGCAGAATGTCATGGCAGAGAGGTGCAGTGAAGGAAAGCTCTCAGCTTATGGCAGCCATGAAGGGGGGGGGGGGGGGAAGATGAAAAGGGGCAAGATATAGTCCCCAAAGGCGCCCCCACCCAGTTACCTACTTCCCTCCACCATGCCCCACTGCCTACAGTTACCACCCAGTAGTCCATTCAAATTATTAATCCAGCAAATGGGTTGAGCCATTGGTAAGGTTTCAGGCCTCAGGATCCAGCCAAAGCCCCAACTCTGCACACTGCTGCAGTGTCTCTAACACATGCACTTCTGAGGAACATTTCAGATCCAGACCATAACACTCACCTCACCTGTGTACCAACAGCATGGAATAAAAACTCATTTATATATGTTGATGAAACACACCCCTATTCATATGTACATATGTCTTAGCTTTATGACATCATATGTAATACATATTTGTATATAAAATTAAAATTTATACTATATAATAATGGAGTTTTAAGCTTATTTGTGTATATATCTATTATATATGTATATAAATAATCATCATTAAAATGAGGCTTTCTCATCTATGAATGTAGATAATAATAACTACTTCATAAATTATTGGAGAAATAAATGAATTAATATGCATAAAATACTTATAATGTTTCCTAGTATATAATACACAAGAAATATTAGCTAGCTGTAATTATCATTTATTTTATCTTATAAAAGTATTCTTCACTTGAAAACATTATTCACCAGACTGTCTTAAATATGTAGTTTCTTCAATGAACCAATATTTTAAAATTATCAATGTCCATTTTTCAATGTAGCTTTGAGAAAGAAAATATTTTTTTCCATAAAGTGGCATATCATGTTCCTTAGGAGACACTCATGATGTGAGGTAATAAGTGTATATTATAATACACAGAAATCACAGACCCCTGAAGAAGTAAAAGCAACCTGAAATTCAGAACCTACTCAACAAGTATTTCATAGCATAAGACCTCATTTCTGTCCTCACTGCCTGGGCTATAAACAAGTACTTATTGTTTATTTACTGAAATTGATTCATTCTCAATTATGACTGTTTAATTCAATGATTTTTCCAGAAATAATGGCCTTGGGAAAGATTTAACTGTGTTTACCTTTGTTCTGAGCTCTAGCACAATCCTTCAGAAGGACTAGCATGCCCTCAGCCCACAATTCTAAAGTAATTCTTGGCCCTTCAGGGCATCACTGTCTCAGCATGGACAGGACTGATGGGCAGGGCAGGACCAGCTGACCTCCTCTCAGCCACAAGCCCCCAGAATAAGGACAACCACCCGGGGCAGCTCATTTCACTTCTAGGAAGAATGGGATCTTGAAGGGCTTCTTTCTGAGTTCTGATTCTTTCCTTACTTATTTTATAACAAATTCTTAAGTTAAACCCACAGGTGTTCGCAGACTTGGTATGTTCAGAATAGACTTTTGAACAATGTTCTCTCAGCCATTTTCTCAGGTGTGTTCTACAGGACAGTTGGGCTGCTAGATACTGATATGTGTTACTTTTTATTTTTTATTTATTTTTTAGTTGTAGTTGGACACAATATCTTTATTTTATTTGTTTACTTTTATGTGGTGCTGAGGTTTGAACCCAGGCCTCGCATGTGCTAGGCGAGCGCTCTACCACTGAGCCACAATCCCAGCCCCATTGTGTTACTTTTTAAAAATACAAAGATGTGTACAAACACACACACACACACACACACACACACACACACACACATCAGGGTTCCTTGATTAAAAAAAAAAATTGGGAATAACTGGGCTAAGCAGAGCTTATTAGATTTTTCATTGTGGAAATTCTCAGAGATCTGATGTATTACTATGACTGCAGGAGGGAGCATGGTGGGCCTCATCTCTCACAAGTATTTATCTATAGAATTTGCATCTCACAACATGTCCTTCCGTAATAGTTTCTGTGGAACACACTTTGGGAAATTGCTTTCGAATATGTTGTACCACACAGGTTACATCTTTTGCCTGTATCCCTTTTCTCAATTCTGAACAGACCTGCTTCTTCTGCAATGCATTGTCAGCAAATTCATTAATTTGCATTTCTACAGCTAAGGAAATCCATCTACTATATCAAATACTTTTTTCTGTTCCTGAAATTAACCTTTCTGAATTTTTGGCTAATTGTTTCGGAATCACCTGAAGCAATGATTTCTTGGCCTGACAAAGAATTCATTGTTTCAACTCATAATCAAAGAGCAAATTAAAATATCCCAGGAACAAAATTCTACATAAATAGAATCAGTTTGCCCATACACCTTTCTCCAACCTGATGACATGAAGTTGAACCATGTCATTGTACCATGAACTCTGGTGAGCAGATGTCATTTATTATGTACTTGGAGAATTCCAGCAATCACCTTCAATGGTCTGTACATTCTCTTATAACAAAACTATGCTAGCAGATAATAATAAAAGTAAAAGCTCTAAACCCATATTAATCAAGAACAAGCAAAGCTCTAAAGTTTGGGTGTTACACTTTTCTTTACAAATGCCAACATATAAGGATATTCAAATTTTCATAACATTCTATTCCAGAAACAAACTTAAACCTGAAGTCTTAAATATAAATATAGCCATCATATATATTTTATATACACATATATACCTATATGTATATATAGATTATATAAAAATATATATCAAATGTATAAATTTGATTGGAAGAAAAAACAATGTAATCATTAAGATTTTTACAACTTTAGAATATCAAACTCTATAATCCAAGCCTGAAGGAAACTGCAAGAAACTTGAATATAGAACTACACATGGATCTATTGTTTATATCCATTCCTGTTTCTCTCTGAATATTTAAAAAGAAAAATAAAATGCTATGCTGAAAGAGAAAAACTAATCCCATAAAACCATTTGATAAAGTTGGTCTCAGCATTACAACACGATGAAAAGCTGCTATATTAAGATATTAAATCAACCAAAATTTCAAAATTTTTGCTAAGAAAGATCATTGATAACACATCCCATGAGCCACTCTGGTGTTTTTGACTATAAATTATAAAGTTGAAATCTTCTTTACGTTCGACTTACTTCCAAGTGTTCAACTTACTTCCCAGGCCCCAAATCGGCATCCAGCTTCAGGTTTCTACCATAAAAACCTGAATATCGCCTGAAGAATCTCCCTTAGGCTCATCAGGAATAATCAAATTTCATGTGAGCTATTACATTACAGACATTCAATTATGTTTTTCAACCCTCTGTTTAGAGATGCTAAAGGCCCTTGGAAAGCATCCTTCCACCAGAGCCGAAGTTGGCAAGTGAGACCGGTTACCTGCAAAAGCCAGACAAAGAGGTGGACCCTTGCAGTCCCGGTAGGCACGTTGCAAAGTGGCACGCGGTGTACCCCATCCCTATTGTGCGGCACAAATTCTTTGTAACACTGGGAGACACTGCAGAACAAAAATACTATTAGAAATGCTTCAAAAGGAACATTTTTGGCGGCGATAGAGACTTTTGACATTATTTATTAGGTTCAAAAATGCTTCACAAAAGCCTAACAATGGTTCTGTGGAAACCAGTGCATCTGAGGCCCTTTCTGTTGTTCCGGGCAGGCATTGACTTGAAGATGGGCAGCGGTCGCGGAACAATTCCCTCGCAGCGGTCAGCGTAAGTGAGCATTCACCACCGGCCTCGGGAAAGCCTGTGAACAAGCCGTATGGAAAGGCCGGGGCGGGCGGGGGGGGGGGGGGGCGCAGTGCAGACCTTTATTAACCTCTTGGAGTGGAAATGGGTGGAAGCGCCCGCGGGCCCAGGAAGGGGCTCCTCTGCCAGATTGCCCGAGAGGGAGGAGAGGGAGGCCTCCGCCCGCAGCCTCCTCTCCTCCGGGACACGAGGATGCTTGGGGAGCGTCTCCGCTACCATGGCAACCGCGCCTCTGCCGACTGCATTTCCGGGAGCCCCTGGGAGCCCCTTGGGGGAATCTGGGTGTGCCCTGAAGTCTACTGTCACCGCCGCCCTCTCCTCCAGCCTGGGTTCCGAGGGACTCCACCGGCGCTCGGAGGGGCGGAGCGGCTCCTGGTCCTGCACAGGCCGATGGCGGTGGAAGGTCTCCCCGGGGGACCTGGAAGGCAAAGGAGGGCAGGAGTGGAGGGACCGCAGCGCGCCAGCCCCCAGGCCCAGCAGAAACTCCTGCTAAGAGGACGTTTAGGAATGGACGTTTGTGATGCAGAGAGAAAGGAAAATCCCCTAAGGTTACCTTCAAGTGCCTATCCCCCCACCCCCCACCCCCAACACACACACGTTTCTTTAAGAAAAAACGAAAAGCAAAAGCAAAAAAAAAAAAAAAAAAAAAAAAAAAAAAAAAAAGATGTCTATTCTTTCTTGTTGCTTGAAAGCGCCCCCCACCCCGCTCCAAAATAATTTTTACACATTTATCAGAAAATCTTTCATTTCAAGGTAAAATTTTGAAAATTTCTAAGATGTATGTGTGTCTGTGTGTGTGGGGGGGATTGGTGACTAAAATAGAGCATCCACTTCTAAATTTGGGAAAAGAAGAATGGGAAAGGATTATGTTGTAGTCAGATATCGTGCAAAACATAAAAGGGTGTGTGGCCCATGTAGGCTGACGACTGATGATTTTTAAAGATCCAAAAGGAAGTTACTTCGTGGATTTTATTAGAAATTATAAACAGCTGAAAATTAAACAGTGGATTAACCTGAAGCTATTACACAACACACATGTACATACTAACAGTAATAATTGCAACTTTGATTTTGTTCCAAACAAAGGAATATATATATACATAGACACATATACATACATATGTATATAATTCCACCTGCATTTTTATGTATGTGTGAATATAATTTTGAAGTTTTTGAGAAATTCTGCCTTTGACTTCCACAAAAAACTTAAAGCCTGATTTTTCAGTAATGTTTTAATAATTTACATGCCTTAAATAGCTTATTAGTTTTTAAAGGACTTTGAATGCTATGTAGATGTCTAGAATATTTGAACAACCCACAGGATTATTTGCAAATTCAAGAAACATGTTAAAAATTTGAAATGCACAATATCTTCCTAACCATGGATGTCAAACAGCCAGCATATTCCTAAGTAATTCAATGTAGTTCATTATACATTGTTCTATGCCTGATATGCATTGAGTACACTCAACATACCCAGTCAAATGTGTTGGTGGTGGGGGAATTAGTGAATCTGATTTGTCTAAAGTGAGAAATATTTCCTAAAAATACAATGGAATGACATTCCAACATCTCCAGAGGGACAAACACTTTCAAACTCATTGTAAAAAGTTAGTAACTATTTATTTGATTATCCAGTCTTTGTAGATGGTCCTTTCACTGTATCAATATTCAGGGCAAGAAGAATTCACAAGAGAATACGGATATGGCTCTGGAATTTGGAGCAAGAGAACATGACTGAATATGCTGTCTTCTGTCTTAAGTCAAGGATAGAACTTCCTTCCTTCAAAGCAGTTCGGGAAAGATGCATTTTGCAATAAACTGTCTTAGAAGGAGAGTGTGGTTTAATGAATAAACAAGGATCTGCAATCAGAGTCAATCCTGGCATATCACCTGGCTTAAGCACTTCTGTCCTTACACAAAACATAGAGATCACGTTACCTAATTCACTTTTGGTCTATATGATCCTCCTATATTTGTCCATTCACTTATTAATTTACTAATATTTGAATGCCTGATATGTGCCTGGCAGTAATATAGTCACATTAGTGATTCAGAAGGAAATAAGGCAAACAAGATCCCTGAAGAGGGAAAAGGACTCATAAATAAGTAAATAAACAAATTTGTAAGTGTTCACTGGTAATAAAACTGTGAAGAAAAACAAAGCAAGACAAGATTAGAAAATACCTAAGTAGCTAATATCTCATTAAAGATTTTTTTAAAAATGAAAAACAAGACTACTTAGGTAACTGAGAAAAGAACATGATAAAATGTTAAGCATTAAGTACATGATAAGAACTCCATACCAAAAAAAAACATTGCTGTTCTATTTAGAACCTTAATATAGGGATACTCGGACCCACAGTTGGAGTGAAAGGCTTAAATTCTACTTTACCCCTGAAATTACAGAACCTGTATAGGTCTCAGATTCTGTATCATAACAAGAGAAAATAACAGTTCTTATCTAAGAGGAGGATCATATAGACCAAAAATGAAAATGTACAGTCATATTTTAGTACTTTGCCTTGTACATAGTAAGACTCAAAAAAAATGTTCATCAACGAGCATCTTTCTCCTTTGAAATTAAGTCAAAATTTGTCCCTCTCTTCTTTGAGTCAAATACAACAAACTGTGCAAATATTTGAAGTGAAATCTACCTCAAATTTTCCTTTAAAACAAAATAGACTACACAATATCAGCCTAATCCTTCTAATTGAAAGTTCCTAGATATTTGGAGAGAGGCATAGTTTACTTTCTTTTTGTCTCTCCTCAGGTATCAGAAACGCTACCATCATCACCACCACCATTCAATCCCTACTATGTTCAGGGAACTTTATCTATATCAATCCTCTAATTACAATAGCTTTTCAAAGTAGTAATTGTCACTAGTTTACAGATGAAAAAAAGAAAGAAAAAAAAAGCATCTAAAGAACACAGGTGGGACTTTGTTATGGCTGCAGAACTGAAATGGGAGACATCTGAGACTGGGCCCAAGATCTTCCTGTTTCAAACCCCTTTCCTTCTCGTCCATTTCCTTACTTTTAATGATTTCTCCTACTATGTCATATTATTTCAAGGCACTTTATTATCATACCCATTACCTTACACTATGAATTCATGGCTTCCTTAACTGTAAAACACAAATAATAACATTATTATCCACCTAAGTGTTATATGAGGATTTCATAAAATAATGTAAAATGTTCAGCAGAGAGCTTAATCTATGATTAGAACTAAATAAATTGGGCTGGGATGATGATAATAACTGTCATTATTATCTGGTACAACACCTGAACCATCAAATTACCTGTCATCAGTTCCATCATGTACTCTCCTCCAATACAATAATTTACAAAAAGTAGACTCTCAATGCCGGGCGCGGTGGCACACACCTGTAAGGCTCAGGAGGCTGAGGCAGGAGGATCGCAAGTTCAAAGCTAGTCTCAGCAAAAGTGAGATGTTAAGCAACTCAGTGAGACCCTGTCTCTAAATAAAATATAAATAGGGCTGAGGATGTGGCTCAGTGGTTAAGTGCCTCTGAGTTCAATCCCTGGTACCCTCCCCGAAAAGTAGACTCTAAGGACTTTCTGGTACAGTTCTTATTGTACCTTCTAAGATATGACCTGCAAGTGGTTCAATACATGTTTTTGTTTATATTGAAATCAAAACGTGATAGGTTGCAATAAGAAAAGAAAAGCTAGGAACCAGGTGATACTTACGAGAATTTCCCTTGGAATCGCTCAAAGACTGGTTTTGAAGTCTCGTGTGTCTACTTGTAGCCTCCAAGTACACAGGATGTTCTGAGTGTGGTAGACTGGGTTTATTTGCCATTTTTGGTGTGAAAAATGGGATGCTCCAGGCCTGCTTGGAGGTTTTGCTGACTATCTTTTGAACTTTCTCTCCTCGGAGCATCAAACTCAGTGAATCCTCATCCCTTTCACCAGATGATGCAGAAGAAGAACAGGCTTCTTGGCGGTTTTCTTCTTCAAAAGAATCTGTGCTCACAGAAGACCTGGGGATGATGGACTGGCGATTATGAAGCAGTCGTTCACATGTCACTGGACTCTGAGTTCTTTCTGAAAATATTGCAAAAGGTAAATACATTAGTTTGAAAGAATGCACTTCATTATCACGTTCAGAAAGGATGAAATGCGGTCCATGTGGATTTTTGTTGGTTTGTTTGTTTGATGCTTCTACCATGAGCAAATAGAAATGACCAAGACAGAGACTAAGGTACTTGCATGGGAGAAAAAGAGGAGGTATGAAGAAGGTGGTAAAGGGTGGAGAATGCTTTTGCTGAGTTTGAGCTATATTTCAGACACCCACGTGAGATCCTGCCCATGCTTATCATCTAGTCCTCACAAAAGCCATAGCTAGCAGAGATAATAATCTCCATTTTACAAGTCAGGGAGCTGATTTAAGGCTTATGAGTTGAATTGTGTCTCCCCTAAGAGACCTGTTGAAGTTGTAACCTGCAGTACCTGTGCATATGACCTTGTCTAGGAAGAAGGCCTTTGAAGAAGGAATCAGGCTAAGACAAGTTCATACTGGATTAGAGCTCACCTTTCTTATCCTCATGAGAAAACTCACACACACACACGTAAAGACACGGACACATGGGAAGAAGCCAAGCGAAAACAGAGGCACAGACTGGAGATGTGCTGCCCAAAGTCAAGGAACACTTGGGTTACCAGACGCTACAAGAAGACTCCTCTCCTGGAAGCTCAGGGGGGGGACACACAGCCATACCAACACCTCGTGTTTCAGTCTTCTGGCCTCCAGAATTAAAAGAATGTATTCTCCTGTTTCAGGCCACTCTGCTTGTGATCATTTATTAAAATAACCCAACATAGACTTAGAACAAGTATCTGGTCCAAGGTGATGCAGATATTAATTAGCAGATTTGGAACTTGAATTTAGATCCCTCCACCTCGTAACCCAGTCCTGATTCTCAAGACACTCTGCTGGATGGCCTTCAGAAGACCAAAACCAGGCTTATTGCTTAAAACTGCTCTAGAATATTGTGAAGAAGCCAGTGACAAACTCTACCTCCCACTTTTAATTCTTATCCAGCAACTGAGGTGAGTTCCTTCACCCTGATTACTTCCCTTAAGAAACTGATAGCTGCTGTGGCAATGCAGACCACCTGCGGCTACACTACTCATTCTTTGGTAGAAAATCATCATGAGTAAGAATTCCCAACAGTCAAAGATACTAACAAACAGAACTGATGCAATGCCAGGTTTCCCTGTCACAGAGGATGGTGTCTGGAAGACATAGGAAAAAAGAGAGCTTAAAGAGGTAGCTAAGAACCAACACTGGCTTCTTAGCCAATTGGTAACCGGTTGGTTGTGGAGGGAAGAGACAGGCAGAAAGAGGGAAAGAGGGGAGAAGAGTTCTCTGGATTGTATAGCTGGGTGGTATAAGGGTGTGTGTGTGTGTGTGTGTGTGTGTGTGTGTGTGTGTGTGTGAAAGAGAGAGAGAAGGGGGAGAGAGAATATAGACTTAGAATTTGAAAGCACTGAGGTCTCTTTGGGAGTGAGGAGTGTTGTGAAGATGAGGAGAGGAGATAAGATTTATTTGCCTTTATTATCAAATTGAAATCTTTTTGAGATTGCCTCTTCCATGTAAACAAAAAATGAATCCTGGCTGGTCTCTAAGATAAGTGCAAGTTCTGGAGTTTGGTGAACTAGGTTTGAATCCTGAATTCTACAAATTACAGCTGTGTAGCCCTAAGGGGAAACTGTTCTTAGTTTTACCCTCCTCGTTCGTAAAATGGCATAATCATATTTACCTTTTAGGAATACTATAAGGAACATATTAGATAATGTAACAAAGTGTTTATAGAGCAGCTGGGTTGTGGCTCAGTGTGTGCAAGGCCCTGGGTTTGATCCTCAGCACCACACAAAAATAAATAAAATAAAGGTATTGTGTTCAACTACAACTAAAAAATAAATGTTTTTTTAAAAATAAAATAAAGTGTTTATAGAGTATACTTGGTATATAGAAAACAATAAATTTTTAAAATTAACATTATTACATAGTAAAATAGTCTACATGGAAAAATACTTGTTAAGTGTAAAGATACAAAATTACACAATTTTTCCTTTTAAAGTGAAAAGAATAAAAGCTGGAAGAAAATGAACCAAATGCAAAGTTGTTTCTCAGTGGTCTAATTCAAACTCTGAAATTTTTATGTAATGTTCAAATTTTATGCATTATTCTTACGATTCAGAAGATACCCTTAATTAGACAAAAAGGAGAAAACTTTAGAGCGTTAATGTGGTTGAGCATTCCTACTGTGCACTTATTTCATCACCTAATAGCGACATGAATGAGATTTTCCATGGAGGGAGCAGAATAAGCAAGGAGAAATTTCCAGATCTGCCTGGTAGGGCGTTGGGAGACCAGTGTGGACAAATGAAGGGCAATTTACAGGAGGTATTGGGCCTGTGGTTATGTGACCAATTGACCTAGTTTGTTTGTTTGTTTGTTTGTGGATTCAATGTGTCCCCCAAAGAAATGTTCAAGTCCTAATCACCTGTATCTGTGAATAGGAACTTATTTGGAAATGGGATATTTTCAGATATAATCAATATGAGATCATTATGGTAGTCCTTAATCCAATATGAATGGTATCCAATGAGGAGACCAGAGACCCAGGCGTGAGAAGACCCATGGGAGGAGGGAAACAGAGGAATGTCAAAGCCAAGAAATGTTAAAGATTACCAGAAACCACCAGGAGCTAAGAGAAAGGCAATGAACTAATTTTCCCTCAGAATTTCCAGACAGAACCACTGCTGCTGACACCTAGAGTCTGGACTTCTGGCCTCAAAACTGTAAGAGAATTAATTTTTGTTATTTTAGCCATCCAGTTAGTAGTACTTTGCTATAGGAGCCCTAGAAAACCATTGAACCAGAAGAGCAACAATTTGCAATGTTGTCCAAGAGCAATTATTCACAACAACAACACTTTTTACTAAAAATAAACAGTATTCAGATTTGGGGAATAGAAAAGAGAAAATCCCAAGATGCAGTAGGCATTAAATGTAGGAAGAAGACATTGGCCATATTGAGTTGTACTATGGGGGAAAAACTGTGGCAGAGTATACGGCTGGGAACAGGACACACTTTCCCTGTGTTCAAGGTACAAATGACAAAGAGGGTGCTGGTCACACTGGATGCCAGTGCATACTCCTCCTAAAGCACAGTCATGTCTGCAGAGGACGCTCAAAACAGCTCCAGAGGCCAGGCAGAGGGCCACAATGAGAGAAGGGCCAAGAAGGATATTCTGGAGCTATGTCACATTAGAAGGGCCCCAATGCCGTCTGATTCTGTCCTTTATTGCCGTAAGGAAATGTGAGTCTAGTGTAAGTAGATGTTCTGAATTTTCAGGAGAAGCAGAAATCTTGCTATGTACGTTAACTGATTTTTAAATGTTGATGACTGTTCAGTCTTTTCAATATATAGTGTGGCATGCACAAAACACAACTGCTCTCCAAATAATCACAGGCCACCAGTTTGTGTCTTTGACCCAAGGTCGGCTGTATCAAAGCCACATTGTTATTTACTTCCTTCTGTAACATCTTCACCTCAGAAAATGGTTTTATAAATAGTCAGTCTGGACTAGTGAAAGTGCATTTGCAAGCCCCATGTGCAGCAGCTTTTAGAGCTCTCGAAATCTGGTCTACCTCCAACATTTAATCTTAAAGCCCATGATTTGAAAAGGTAGACAAATTTATAAAGCTTTCCCAAATATAGAGAAACTTCAGAGTCCTTCAAAATCCTTCAAAATAGTAGCACTGGATCTTGTGATCCCAAAGGAAAAGATTATTAGAACCAATGGTCAACATTATTAGAACCTTGTTCATGTGTTCAAAACCTGGGAAGAGGATGGAAGGCCTGAGGCTCTTTATATATCTTCATGTTCCAGAAGTTTTGGGTTCAAAGAGACCTTAAAGGTTATCAGAGGCTGAGCCCCATCACCTTCAACATCCACTTCTGTTATAATATGTCCAGGGGATTCGATCTTCAGAACTCTGTAGCAAAGATTTCACGGCTTGTCAGAAGAGCAAGAAGAAACTTCATATTTGCAATATAATGGGTATATGTGTGTGCATGTGTGTGTGTATTTGTGTATGTGTGTATGCACACACACACACACACACACACACATAGGAAACAAGCAAAGCCAATGTGTACGCTTTTAGAACAGGTGATGATTACACTTATTTATTTAGTTATCCAAAAACCAATACCATATACTGGGTACTACTCCAGTGGAAAAATTTATCCAGGCCAATAAAAGCAAGTATTTTAAGACTAAATCAACCAAAATGAACTTCAGTGCAGTAAAAATGGATCCTTCCAGTTTTTGAATCTTAAATGAATTTCTGGTTTCCTCAATGGTACCACTACCAGGTTGCCTGAATTGATAACAACCAGTTGTTTTGGCATTAAATCATCAGAAACAGAAATGGAAAATGCTTTTGTAATCTCCGTGGCGTTTGGATTTTTTGTTTGTTTTTGTTTTTAATTTACCAGTCAATATAGTGACAAATCTTGAGCCAAAACTCATGGCCCATGACTTAAAATCCAGTCCTTCTTATTAGGTTACACTTCTCCTCAATCTAATTCACCATTCCTCGGCCCTGGCTGCACATTAGACAATACCTGACATGCTTTCAAAAACACGGTCACCTGGTCCCACCCCTGATCAACCCAGTTAGATGGCACCCAAGTATTCAAACATTGTAGCCCTTCAGTGATTAAAGGGTAATCAGGATAGAGTCCCTGGTCTCAGTCATTCGCAGGATTCCAGGCAAACAATCATGAGCAAGAATTATAAAGTCAGTAATGTCTATGTTCCCTGATCTCTCTCCACAGATTGTCCTCATTTCAGAATCCAGCAGTGTATTTCTCCTCACAACTTGCATCTTCCTTTATAGTTTATTTGTTTTTATACCAGTAATTACAAAAACTCTCTGACTTACTCATTTTACCGAGGAAAAAATCAAGACCCAGACAGAGTAATTGTCTTGTCTATACCACTAGTCAACCTAGGATTCAGACCCAGGACTTAGAATTCTGCAGAAATTTTGTTT